CTAGCGTTGTAAGTCCGCAGACATACCGCTGTGCCACTGGGAGGCATATAATTAGAGATTTTATATGTATAACTGACTTTTTAAACAAGACAGAAACAAAGTGTATTGCACATAATAGACACACATACAGAAATTGCACTCATATATGTATAGTTGATGTTGTTGTTAGTTTCTTGATGCAAAGCTACACAACGTTTATCTGTTCTCTGTGTACCAGGGAGTCAAACCCTGGATTATGGCGTTTTAAGTAAAGTTATCACTCACTCACCAGGACCTCATATATATATATATATAACATATGTTAAATGTGAAAAACAATTTGAAACACCATGAAACTGCACCATTTTCAGTGCATTTTACAAAAAAAAAAAAAATCCCTGATCCCAGGATACCTTCGTCTCTCATTTCCATTTTTTCCTCTGTAAAAGTATCACTTTCATTTCCTAGATTCCGCCGTACGCTCGCACCCACCTTATATGTTTCTGCCTATGAACCTGTAAATTACAAAATATGGAGAGATGCCGCCTGTTAGATTTATCGACTTTTCGCATCCGCACATAGAAATGTATATACTGTTACGACAGTGGGGGTCACGTGACGAGTATTCTAGAAGATTCCCTAGTGTGTTACGACAGCGGGGTCACGTGACGAATATTCTAGAAGATTCGGTAGTGTGTTGCGACAGCGTTGCGTCAACCGACGCTGGTAGCACGTGTTGAGAGTCTTAGAAGTTTCTAGAACAGGCAGTATTATCGTATATAAGTGCGCTAGACAGTGAGAGAGAGAGAGACGGAGTCGAAGCAATAGTGGAGACGGAGTCGAAGCAGTAAACGAGGCAGAAACGAAGCAGGCAGAGAGAAAGAAAGACAGCGATTACGGTCGGCGGGAACTGAAGATAGCAGACACAGAGATCGGAACGAAAGTTTGCGGGACGGACAATTAAGTCTAAGCGCGATAGAAAGTGAGTGAATTGTTGTGAACTATAGTGTGTGTAACCGTGAAAATT